GGGGGAGGGGAGGGGAGGGGAGGGGAGGGGAGGGGAGGGGAGGGGAGGGGAGGGGAGGGGAGGGGAGGGGAGGGAGGGGAGGAAGGAGGGAGGGAAAGCTCGAAACTTAGCTCAGAACTTACCGAAGCCTGCTATGAACAAGATCCCGATCTCCTGCTTGGAGAACTTATAGTGTTCATAGAGCGCGTACACGTAGGGCCCTTGCAGCCAGTCCGCCGTCACGGCACAGCAGTAGGCGACCATATACGCCGCCTGCTGCCTCTTGAACTCTCCTGACACGTTCCCGCCCGGCATGCCTGCCTGGCCCTGATCCTTGCGCTGACTCCATTGTATCAGCGCACAGAGGATGCAGAGGACTACAAGGACGACTGTGAACCCCATGGTAGCTGGAGGGCAGGTGGGCAGGAGCTGGGTAGCTCGCAAGGTACTCCAGAGCTCTGCCCGTCCACGGAGTTAACAGGCGAAGGAACTCCCACACCAACGGTGTAGCAAAGGGGCTCGAACTGGGAAGGAAATGTCAGGAGGGAAGGGAGAGGGATGGTAGGCTTTCGAAAGGTTCCAGCATGATCAAACGCATCATGCCGATCATAATCTCATCAACAACATCTCCTCAATCTCCATTATCGCGATCGTCTGCGTTGTCTCCCCTGACAGCTTTTCATCCCCATCATCCGAACTGTCATCATCCACATCATCTTCACAGCCATGACGTTCCAGACGATCTTTTCTATCTTTGCATTTAACGACATGAGTCCATCACTACTTCCGTTGTCCTGTGCTTCTTGACTATGGGGGGTGTAAATACTGAAGACACTATCTCGACCGTTCATCCTTTACATAGTCATCCGCCTCCTCATCCTTGTCTTTTCCTGCTCCTGCTCCTGCTGTCCATCCTCCAAACCTTGCTCCCCTCCCTGCTCCTCCTCCTGCTGCTGCTGCTGCTGCTCCCCTCCCTGCTCCTCCTCCTGCTGCTGCTGCTGCTGCTCCTCCTCCTCCTCCTGCTCCTCCTCCTGCTCCTCCTCCTGCTCCTCCTCCTCCATCTCCTCCTCCTGCTCCTCCTCCTCCTCCGCTGCTCCTCCCCTCCCTCCCATGCCACGCAGCCCTCGATATTTTTAAAAGTCAACAATGGGTGAGGATTTACTCTGGTACAAAAATTCAAAATAAAAACGATTTGGTACCAAATTACTGTGTACCTGTTCCGATCATTGCGTATAAGTAAATAGATAATATGGAAGATAATAATCAAATTTGCAGGTATTGTGGTAGTATTTTGAACTTTCAAATACTTTATAAACTCAAGTTATCTTTTACACTGGTACCGCGGCAGTTCTCCTGTACTGTACCTCACTGATTCCAAAAACAAAGAAAAGAAGAAAAAAAAGAAGAAAAAAGAAGAAAAAAGAAATCAAGCGGGTGAAGGGCGGCGAAAATGGACGAGCACCTTTACATGCCCAAGGCGTCGGAATGTCTCAAGATCATGAAGTGAGAGGAGGAGGAGGAGGAGGACGAGGAGGAGGAGGAGGAGGAGGAGGGGGAGGAGGAGGAGGAGTTAGTGGCGGTCACGAGTGTTGCTGGAGCTGGTCACTGCGGCTGGAAGAGAAGGGTATAGCGGTTGTAGTGGAGAATGACGGGGAGGACGTAAGGCGAGGAGAGAAAGGGAAAGGAAGAGGGGAAGGGCGCGATGAGGAGAAAGGAGCAAAGGGGAGAATTAAGTAGGAAAGGAGGAAGACACAGGGATCTTGAGAATGTGGGGGGAGGAAGGGGAGGGAGACTAGAAGGTAGTGGTAGTCTGTTATATTTTTCAATGCTGACAGATTTGAAATCGCAGCATATACTTCGATGCGTGGGGAGATTCCTGGCACAAAGTTAGCTCATGTTGTGGTATGACAGTGATGATTGAATATTGGTTTGTGCAACAACAGAGAAAAATTGCGTTGACAAGAGAAATGCTCGCTCTAGGCCATGAAGAGACGAGTGCGGTGAGACAGATTTTGTTCATAGAGATGATGAAGATTGACGTTTTCATGTTTCAAAGTTGATGGACCACATACCGCTCCATGAGGTCAGTGAGAACGACTTGGGTTTCCGTCTTGTTTTGCGATGAGATAAACTTGATCTGTTTCGATGAGAAAGATGTGTTGATTGTCTTGAGATGAAATATTGTTGAGATGACTGTAACTCTTCGTTGTCAGGTCATCGATGCAAGACCTGGCAGACCCCCGAACGAAGAGGCCAAGTCTGGATTCAAGTGATGAGAATCTGTGTTTCATTTCCTTTCACTTTGATCACGTTTTGCTTTCATGTTCGTTCCTCCAATCTCATCATGCAAATGACTGCCTACCTGCCTACCTGCCTACCTGCCTGCCTGCCTGCCTGCCTGCCTGCCTGCCTGCCTGCCTGCCTGCCTGCCTGCCTGCCTGCCTGCCTGCCTGCCTGCCTGCCTGCCTGCCTGCCTGCCTGACTGACTGACTGCCTGCCTGCCTGCCTGCCTGCCTGCCTGCCTGCCTGCCTGCCTGCCTGTAAATGTAACTCTGCACTCCTTCCTCCTTCCCAGCTTTCTGTTTTCCCTCAACTTTCCCTTCTTCTCGCTTTCCTCTCTCTCTGCCTTGACCGTTTCAACAGTGATCCCTCGTCTGAGTTCTACATCTTGACGGCTCCTGACGGATACAACTGCGGTGGACTCCTGACATAACCTTATTGGACAAACACACTCATGCTCTGCCTGTTTCACATTCATCTTGTCAAATTTTCCCATCCTCTTCTCTGTACAACTTTCAATGATGTTTCACCCCTCCCTCCCTCCTTCTTCCCCTCTCCCCCTTCTTGGCTTTCTCCCTCCCTCCCTCTTTCTCTCTAAGCTCGAAATGATAGGAATTGGTTTCCAGGGCAAACGTATCGTTTCAGGAGTTTGACAAATTCAAGCAGGGAGGCAACAAACTGGGTCATCCTGGTGATAAAGCATGTGATGAAACTATCTGATGATTCTTATTATCATTTGTTAGATAATTAGTTTGTTAGACCTAGTCGAGAAATTCATAGCTAGGAACTATTTCTCTCTGCTCGTTCCCTCCTAGTATTTGTCTGAAAGGGTTCCCAACCTTGGGAGGCTAGCCATGATGAAATCAGAGGATGAAAGCATGAGAAACATTTCTCTAATTCTCCTTGTCCTGTGTTATTCCTTTCTGTTGACTTGATACCAACACGTACTGATTGTTAACTTTGATATCAACAGCTAAGAGATGAATGCAAAGTTGCTACATATCGATGGAAGAGGAGAAATACAAGTGAGAAATCGGGGGTGGGGTTGATAAAGTTTGTTCACGTTTTTCTTTCTCAGTCAACAGAGTGCAAAACAAAATCTCAAAATTCTACAACTACGAACCGTTTCAGGTTGTTGTCCAGTGATGCATCAAAGTCGTTGGAAGGGATTTATGATGATCAGTCCATATTGGAATCAATCTTGAAGATTGAAATGATCGTTTTGATGTCTCAAACATGACAGCAAACCAAACTTTGCAACATTCCATTCATGATTGTGTATTTTATATGACAAAGATTTCATGAGCAATCAGATGGTTTACTTGTTTTATTGGGTTGCTGACATTTCATTGCTTTTCTCTTTGTCCCCATTTTCCCATGACCCACTACAAAACCTACATTGCTGTTGTTATTTTCTTCTTGTACCCTCCTGTCTTCCTCCTGTTCCTCTGCTTCTATTTCCTCCTCCGCCCTCTCTTCCTCCTCCTTTTCTACCTGCTCCTCCTCCATCTCCTTTTCTACCTGCTCCTCCTCCTCCTCCTCCTCCTCCTGTACCTGCTCCTCCTCCTCCTCTTCCTCCTGTACCTGCTCCTCCTCCTCCTCTTCCTTTTCTACCTGCTCCTCCTCCACTTGATCCCACAACTACTCCTCTCATCCCTTCAGGCCTTCCTCGCACTCATCATCTTCTCGAGTTTCATCAGCATTGCCGCTCAACTTCAAATTTTCCCTGCGCCTGGAAGCCCGTGAGTCAAG